ATTGGAATTTTGTTCAAAAATAAATTTCTCTTAAACTTTTGACAATACGTCTCACCAAAAATAGAAAATCTTCTGAGTTATTGAGTGTATAAAAAGAGAAGTGTAAAGAAATAAAGTTCATGCAGATCTGAATGAGCTTTATTTTTTTTGTTCATCTTGATATGAATGAGTTTTACTATTGCTACTGACGTACAAAAAGTAGAAGACGCCTAGAAAATTCTATCATTCCTAGCAACCGGTAATTACTCGAGTGAATGAAGCTTTTATTTGTCATTTTTTTACAACCACTTTATCGATTTTTGTGCGAGAATATATTTTTTTTATCAAATGAGTTTTCAGATCGATGTTGACAATGTCCATTCATCGATGTTGAGTTATAACATACTTCAGAATGATACCCAATTTAAAGTTAGACACATTAATGGCTTTGAGAAGTTTCTCTTCTCAGCCGGTTTTGATACTCACGAGACAAAAGTAACAAAACGTAAACCGGTGCATTCATCTCGTTTCATATATATGAGAGATGCAATGAGACGTTATAGGAACACAATGCGTCCATTAACTTTGGCTGATTCATACAGCCTACGCGGTTTCTATTTACCTAAAATTGATTTTGTGAAATATCGTGCACCAGTCTGGACAATAAAAAACCGTTACGCAGAAAGAGAAGTTTACTATCAGCCAAGACCGACCGTGCCTGGTTCAGATGACAAATATAAGCAGAAATGTGATCAGGGTTGGACAATAGCTGGCTGTTTCAAACCAGAAAAAGTTGAGCAAAAACCACCTTACTACGACACAAGAAGGTAGAAAGACTTCAATTACCACTGAGAACGATTTACTATGTTACTCTAAACTTTCTAGATATAAAGAAGTGAGTAGTTCATGTACTCGACATACCATTATTATCGACAAATGTTCAGCATATGTTAAACATGCTAAGAGAGTAAAGCATCGAAAAACAGCGAAAACCGATGTTGTGGAAGAAAAACAGATATTGCAAGAAACTAAATCGGATGTTAAAACGGAATTGAAACAAAAAAATACCGATCCCATTAAACCAGGGCAATCTGATGAAAAAGAACTAATAGAAGGAGAACTGGATAAAACGAAAAAAGTAGAAGAATCGCAAACAGTTGGCTGTGCAGTAGCCCATCTCGTCCGCACTCACGAAGAAAGATTTTTGTGACTTCTCACTAAGATAAAACTTTAAGTATGTGGCTGAAGTATCTAACGAAAAAATCAACCACAGAAAAAGCAAGACAAAGTATGAAAGAAACAATAACAGCAAAGAAGAACTACCCAAGCAAAAAAATACCTTTGAGAATATCTGGCTATAAAAATATGCTATCGGGCAATATCGGCCAGAGATGTAACCGGTCAACAAAATCATGACCGGTACCGGCCGGTCACCGGTGACCGGCGATCATGTGGCGACCAAAATTTTTCTAAAAATTTTGACCGATAAGGGACCGATACTCACATTTTTCAAGAACTCTTTCGGGATAGCACGTGCTATAAGAACAGTGAGCCTTTTGTATTTCTCCTCATTTGGAATAAATATTTTTCCGTATGTTTTATATGTTATTAGGCGTATCTGGTGCGCGGTAATTCATTTTATTTCTCTATCATCCGTATTTATTATGTTTCATTTGAAATTCCATAATATGCACTCTCATCTTGTGATTGTCCTGTTTAAAAGAGACTTGTTACTAAGCAAAATTCTTCTTTTATCTTTCGCATCGTCAACATAGAATAACAAAAAACTTATAACAAGTTGTGCGAATACAAACACAATACTAAAAGACGAATCTAAAAAAGTACGTTAAGTTCAAGTATCACAGACAGTTATATAACAGACATTAGTCAATACATTCACGCATTACGTATAGACCGGAAAAACAGGAATATTTCAAACAGAGAATAATGAATGAAATTGTTATCTTTCTTTGAGCAGTACAAAATGATACTAAATCTGCTTTTTTCTGTCATATTTCCTACTCATAAGCCAGGCCGACCGGGCCCGGTTCAGCAGTTTGACCGAAACCGGCCGGTTGATAAGTCTCGACCGGATCGGGAACGGGCGCCCGATCCGGTTGCATCCCTGATATCGGCTTGTGGTAGCTACCTATCCGTACCACTTTTATTGACTTAGCTAGCTATATATCGGGTATGATAGCTAGCGACTAGATATCGTACCCGATATATTGGGTTGACGAAAAATACTGATCAGAGTAGCTATTTAGTTGACATATTGATCAATTATCTCCCGATACATTGTGGACAGTATCTGATGTCACTGCGCCGCTAGCTATGAAATTAGATATATTGACTCACGTATTGACAGCATGAAGGATGCTGTCTACATTGCATCCCGGGATATCTATATAGAGGCACCCTGCTTTCTGTAATATATTTACAGAAAGCAATATTCCCCAATATATTGGTCTATTATTGCTTAATATACTGACTTTATATGAATAAATACTTTGTAAAGGAGTAGTATCGATAAGTCGGTTTTCCGTTTCAAAACATTTCCGATTGAAAGTCACATATTTGGAATCAGCGTCGAATTTTGAACAAAATGGCCGATTCAGATTTTTTTTGATAAAATTTTATTTTTCGCCTACCAAATCTGCCCCCCCCTGTCCTCCCTTTGGAACATTGAAAAATTTAAGTTGTGCAAATTCTTTAAGAAGTACATCACTAGACGTAGAATTTAACGCTGATTCTGAATATTTAGTCGATTCCACTCCGATGCCTTGCAGAAAATTTGTAAATTACTTT